AACTACCGAATTCCCGAATTTGATTGGCTGAAATCAATAATGAAAGCGGTCTAGATTTTCCTACCTAGACCGGCATCTAGACCGGTAACTAGACCGGTCTAGAAAAAAAAAAGATACAAAGAATATAAAAAATTGGCATATGAGACACAGCCATATAATAAACATCTTATTAACTGAGCTAGGTCGGTCGGTATGGGAGAATCTTGACCTCGGTCGCTGGTACAGACCTAACTGCGTTCGGTCTGCACTGGCGACCTCGCTCAAGATTCTCCCATACAGACCTCCCGCTCTGTTAATAAGAACGAAATCTTGCCTTCTTCACTTTACTTTGTTAAATTAATTTCCACAGTGCATAATGTCCCTCATTGGCTACCTGTTTTACACGGGGGACTGAAAAGGGCAGGAATTGTTTTGCATAGAGGAACAACATTTTACTGCATAAATATGTCATGATAATAAGGTTGCAATGCTATGACTGCTTTTGAGTCCGAGGGAAAATGCCACTAAAATAACATTTTCTTGCATGGGAGCTGAAGTTCAACACTAACCTAAGTCTTAACCCTTTCACTCCCAAGATCTTATTAATAATTCTCCTAACTGTCTACCACACAATTGTTATGATGCTAGCTTCTCTTGGAAAACCTGCTATTCAGCGTGGATCAAGTAATAATCCTCTGATTGATCCCTTTCATGATTCCCATCACTTGTCTGCTTGATTTTGTCCTAAACTTGTAACGAGAAATTCTCTCTTGGTCACTCACGTGCGTGAAAGGAATAACAAATCACCATATAGCAGAGTCAAGCTTTCATTATTGTACTCATTGCTTAATTTATCCAGTGAGATGATATGATCAGGTTTTGAGCATTGCAAAAATGTTGTGTTTCAGAGTATGATGGCACCATTCTATTTCTGTCCTTGATTGCCTGCGGTCAGAAGTTCGAAAACTGGAATGCAAATTTAAAGACTTGCCAGATGAAACTGACCTGCTCAGGACATGAGTGTAGCATACAGCAGTTAATGACGTTACCTTAATGTCCATTGTGCCATCTCTGTTGAATGGCGTAAGCAAAGAGGTAGCACACTATGCTGGAGATAAGTCCCAAGTAAAAATGGTGTCCTCCAGATCAATGTAAGTTGGTTGTCAAGGCAACAAAACTTGATGGCTCCTCCAAGATATGTTATGTAGAACACAATGGCAGTGTCCAGCCTTTGCCAGAGGCATCCATCTGTGGCACCATGAGGTGTTTTCAAGGGTAAGGAAGAAACTCTTTTGCCAGCTACCTCTGAGGAGGCTCAGGAGTTCAGGCGAAGAAATTTATGCTGATTATCACTGTTCAAGAAGCGCTATCCCTCATGCTATTATCCTGTAGAAAAGGGTCTTGGTTCTAATCACGACATGTATTTTCTGTCTCAAGGAATTCTGCTGGTCTTGCTTGCATAACTAGACTGGTCTTTGCGTTGTCTTTATCCAGAAAGTACACATGTTCAATCAACAAAAATTCAGCTGACCACAGATTGCGTACACATCATGACCTATCAACACATTGTGGTTATGTGAAGGTGTAGTCTGATCGTCCGGGTGAGTGTAGTCCTGAGAAGAACTGTTGTCGGTGGTAGTGACTGACGTTTCGACAACCTGTGCGGAAGTCATCATCAGAGTCAAGTGAATGATGACAGGTTGTCGAAACGTCAGTCACTACCACCGACAACAGTCCTTCTCAGGACTACACTCACCCGGACGATCAGACTACACCTTCACATGTTACCCCCGGGTTCAAACCATTTACTGCATTCATATATCCATTGAACCCAAATAAATTTATGATAATTGATATTCCAATCCAACAGATATTTTTTGCTCATGAAATACAGTTAGTCTAAATGCATCATGTGACCAAATATGCCCTGCTAAAACTGGAGGATATCTGAGGATATGACCCTGTTTTC